AAATGTCTAGAAAAATACAATCTTCCAAAACTCAATGAAGAAGAAGCAGAAAACCTGAACAGACCAATAACAGCAAATGAAATTGAAGCGGTAATCAAAAAACTCCTGACACACAAAATCCCTGGAGCAGATGGTTTCACAGGAGAATTCTACAAAGCATTTAAGGAAGAGCTAACCCCTGTCCTTCACAGACTATTCTAAAAAATCCAAAATGATGGAACTCTCCCAAACTCTTTATATGAAACCAGCATCATCCTATTCCCAAAATCAGATAAAGACACAACGAAGAAATAAAATCTCAGGCCAATATTGCTGATGATCATAGATGCTAAAATCCTCAACAAAATATTGGCAAACCACATCCAACAATACATTAAAAAGATCATACACCATGACCAGGTGAGATTCATCCTAGGGATGCAAGGATGGTTCAATGTTTGCAAATCAGTAAATGTAATACATCACATAAACAAAAGCAAAGACAAAAACCACATGATCATATCAACAGATGCAGAAAAAGCTTTTGATAAGGTACAATACCCATTTATGATAAAAACACTCAGCAAAGTGGGAATAGACAGAGCATTCCTCAACATAATAAAGGCCATTTATGAGAGATCCTACAGCCAACATCATACTCAATGGGCAAAAACTAAAAGCTTTTCCGCTAAGATCAGGAATAAGACAAAGCTATCCACTTTCACCACTTCTATTCAATATAGTATTGGAAGTTTTACCCACAGCAATCAGACAGGAAAAGGAAATAAAAGGCATCCAAATTGGAAAGGAGGAAACAAAACTGTCACTGTTTGCAGATGACATGATAGTGTATATGGAAAATCCTGTAGACTCTACCCCAAAACTGCTCAAGCTAATTAATGAATTTGGCAAAACAGTGGGTTACAAAGTCAACATCTGGATTACATCTGGAAATCAAAGGCATTTTTGTATAACAACAATGTATCAGCAGAAGCAGAAATCAAGGAAAAAGTCCCATTCGATATAGCAAAAACAAAAATAAAATATCTGGGAATAAACCTAACTAAGGAGGTAAAAGACCTGTATGCAGAGAACTACACAGCCCTGAAGAAAGAAATCAGGGAAGACACAAACAAATGGAAACATATACCTTGTTCATGGATTGGGAGAATTAACATCATCAAAATGTCCATACTACCCAAAGCAATTTACAGATTCAATGCAATATCTATTAAAGTACCAATGACGTATTTCACATACATAGAACAAACACTTAAAAATTTATATGGAACCATAAACGACCCTGAATAGCAGCTGCAATGTTGAGAAAGAAGAACAAAGTAGGGAGGAATCACAATACCTGATTCCAAACTGTATTACAAGGCCATTGTAATCAAAACAGCCTGGCACTGGCATGAAAACAGGCACATAGATCAATGGAACAGAACAGATAGCCCAGAGATAAACCTAAATCTCTATGGCCAATTAATATTCTACAAAGGGGCAGCAACATAAAAAGGACTAATAATAGCCTCTTCAACAAATGGTGGGAGAACTGGACAGTTACGTGCAAAAAAAATGAAACTTGAGCACCAACTTACACCATATACCAAAATAAATTCAAGGTGGACAAAAGACTTAAATATAAGCTGTGACACCATTAAAGTCCTGGAGGAAAACGTTGACAGAAAAACCTAAGATATTTCACGCAGCAACTTTTTTACTGATATGTCCCCCAGAGCAAGGGACATAAAGGAAAGAATAAACAAATGGGATTTCATCAAAATTAAAAGCTTTTGCATGGCTAAAGAAAACAGTATTAAAATAAAAAGAGAGCCAACTGTATGGGAAAACATATTTGCCAATGATTCCTCAGACAAGGGTTTAATCTTCAAAATATACAAAAAACTTATACAACTCCACTCTAAGAAGACAAGCAACCCAATTAAAAAGTGGGCAAAGGACTTGAACAGACATTTCTCCAAGGAGGACATACAGAGAATCCAGAGACACATGAAAAAATGCTCAATATCACTAGCTATCAGAGAGATGAAAATTAAAACCACATTTAGATACCACTTCACACCGGTCATAATGGCCATCATAAACAAAGCAACAAACAACAAGGATTGGAGAGGTTGTGGATAAAAGGGAACCCTAGTGCACTGTTGCTGGGATTGCAGACTGGTACAACCACTATGGAAAACAGTATGGGATTTTCTAAGAAAACTAAAAGCAATTCCACTTCTAGGAGTATATTCTAAGAACCCTGAAACACCAATCCAAAAGAACCTATGCACCCCAATGTTCATAGCAGCACAATTTAAAATAGTGAAGTGTTGGAAGCAGCCTAGGTATCCATCAGTAAATAAATGGATCAAAAAATTATGGTACATATACACAATGGAATTCTATGCAGTAGAGAGAAAGAAGGAGCTGCTACCCTTTGCAATAGCTTGGATGGAACTAGAAAGCATTATGCTGAGTGAAATAAGCAGGCGGTGAAAGACAAATACCATATGATCTCACCTTTAAAAGGAAGCTAAACAACAAAACAAAGAAGCAAGCAAAATATAACCAAAGACACTGAAATAGAGAATAGGCTGATAGTGTCCAGAGGGGAGAGGGGTAGGAATTTCAGGGGAAAAGGAGAAGGGTTTGCAGGAACAAGTATAAAGGACACATGGACAAAAACTAGAGGGGGTGAAAATGGGAGGGAGGTGGGGAGCACTGGGGTGGGTGGGCTGGGATGGGAGTCAAAGAGAGAAAAGTGTACTTGAACAAAAATTTAAATCAGCCAACCAACCAACCAACAAACAAACAAACGAACAAATAAATAAAAAGTTGTAAGACCAAATTTAATAAATATAGGATACATTTGTAAATTTGGAAAATAGATTTTATCCACAACCTGTTTCTATTTTGTTGAAAAAAGTTACATAGCATGATGACGTTCATATATGCAGCAGATTTACCAAAATAATTGTATTGTATTCCAGACAAGCTATGTAAAAATACAAAAAACAAATTAAAAAACTGCCATGTTGGACAATATCTGAGGGAGTGGTGAATAGGGGCTCTTGGATTAATATTCTCTAATATAAACATAATAAATAAGAAGTCTAGCCATTACTTGACTTAGTGGTTAGTCAAGCAGTGGTTAGCAACTTCTCATTTAGACAAGGAAATAAGAAGAAAAACTCAGAAACAGAATTAAGGTTTCAGTAACTGAAGCAACACTTGGGCTGGCCTTTCAACTGTATAAAATCTTAATTCTGTTTTGTCACATTTTGATGTTGTATCTTTGATTGATTTTCCATGTGTGTGTTTGATTTACACCCAATAGGTTTTATGTGGTAGGAGGCGACAGTGGACATTATGGATGGCAGTAAGATGGGTGGTAGTATAATAAATCATGATAATAAAAAATAACTGAGATAAAGCTTCAGCCTCAAATGAAAGGAGTCCAACCATAGGCCATGAGGCATGGGGAGGAAGACAGCATGAAACAAACCGACCTCTACAACATCAAGGGCTGGGTTCAGGGCAAAGCTCTATTATCAAGGAAAACCAAAATGTAAATCAGAAAAGTGAGACAAGCATCAATGTCTTGTTAAAATTATACACAAAATGGGCCCTGGCTGGTGTGGCTCAGTGGATTGAGTGCCTGCCGGTGAACCAAAGGATCGCTGGTTTGATTCCCAATCAGGGCATATGCTTGAGTTGCAGACAAGGTCCCTAGTAGGAAGGGTGTGCATGAAAGGCAACCACACACTGATATTTCTCTCTCTTTATACCTCCTTTCCCTTCAGTCCAAAATAAATAAATTATATATATATATATAATTATATGATATATATACTTATATATATAAATTTTATATATATATAATTTATTTATTTTGCATATATATATGCAAAATGGAAATAAGATTTGAAAATTCTCTGAGCAGACAAACCCTTTCAGCCACGTAACTTTATTCTGTAAACACAAGTAAAACATTGATTATTTTTATGAACACTCAGAGAATCATCAACGCAACAGAAAAGGTTTCTCCAAACTGTCATGGGGTAACCACTTTTAAACAGTCCCGTATCCCTAGAAACACTCTGATCCTCTAGCCATCATTGTAAAGGATAAACAACGTTTGTATTTTCACTGTATAAATGGTCCTATAATAATTTACCTGTGAGCCTCATTCTCTGGCTGGCTAAAGAACTCCTCCCTCAAGCAGTGTTCTTATATGCATGGTAAATGCTTACTAAATCCTATTCAATTGGCCTGGTATTTTTAATTTTGCTACTTATAGATTTTTACAGTATGGATTAGGACCGTAATAGAAGACTTCGGGGCTATTACTACCCTATGATCTTCACAGACACACTGGATACCTGATCTGCCATAGAGGGGCTAATGGCACATGAAAATCAAAACTCACCCAACAAAACCAGAAGGACAATGTACTTCTTGCCTGATCAGAAATGTTTAAGGAGCTTGGAATGGTAGAACCAAGTGGATTTTTTGTGTGTTTTTAAACATCAAAACGATATTCTATAAAATGCACTTTATTTCATAATGAATCAGCATCTGGAGTTACTAGTTAGTCCCTCTGGGATCTGTTATAGTTTGGAGTTCAATTAATTTTTCTCTTCTTCTTCACTTAGAAACACTGTATCATCAAGTAATTTTAATATAACACTGTGAATTTGCAATTTATGGGAAGGAACAAAACACTACCTGCATCAACAATAATGTTACCAAAGACAGAAGCAGCAAAGTGATGTGAAAATCCATTCTAAATAAGTAACTTTCCATCTAAAAAGAAACGTATCTTAGGGTTTTTCTTAATGGCCACATAATTGTGCATTATTTATTTTCTTAATATACTGCTTTCAAATTTATAGGAACACAAATAGGGAATGTTTCTAGAGCCTTTGTTTACATAACTTACTCAGCAAGAAAATGTGAATTTGTTTTCATGGGTCGCTATTGCTTTTTCTTTTCATTGTCTTCTGACATAGTGGGAAGGAATGATTACATTTTTGCCTTAACCTCTGTGTGATAGCACTACGAGAAGAACGCTGGCACTGGGAGACAAAAGTAGTAACAGACAGCTGCCGTGGCCTGCTCAACAAAGACCCGGACAAGGCTCTTACATAAGTAGGCACCGCCAAAAGGGTGTCCTTGACACTTACCATCCTAGAATAGCTGCGTGTCAGTCCGTTCTCTATTCTGAGATTCCGTTTGTGAGACTTTCTCATTAGACAATAGGTATATTTTACTCAGTTACACAGTAGCCATTATAACCCTTAACTCTAAGCTGGAAAAAAAGGAAATACACCATTGATTTCCTTTGAAATCATTGAAAAATACATATTTTCTCTCTCATTGAAAGCTGTGGTCAAGATAATGATGTGAACACAAGAGTATCTTTTCCTTTCTCCTCCGATATTTCTGCAGAGAAAAATAATCAACAGATATTTTTAAATATTATGATCAAAATCATATAAAGAATTGAGAAGGCTGTGGCTTTTTGAAATTAATATAGAAAATGAGTGTAAAACATTTAAAAATATCTAATTGATATTGTTAAAAGTACTCAAAACAATTAAAGAGAATCCATAGGTATATACACATGCATGAAACACATACATACACATACTCAAACAAACATTTTCAAATATATTTGTAGTAATGATAATATTATAAATATATGAGGAAAAAATAGTATGTAGAAAATAGGAATAAAATTGCAAAGCATTCTGAAAGTTAAGGGGAAAATTTTAAAAGTCATTTTATTATACCTAAGATTTTGTACCATTATTCTTTAAACTAATATTATGGATTCTAAAACCCAAAGAAACTGGGACATCATAAATTTTAAATGCATCCTTATATCAAAATGTTACATTAAAAAGTCTCTTAGAGTCAGTTTAATACAGTAAATGAAATGTACATTTTTCATGGACTGACATCACTATAATTAGATCAACCACTTTCATTATATATATAGTAAAGTATATATTATATATAATGTATGTATATAATATGTATTATATTTATACATTGCTATGAAAATAAAATATTTTTAGATATATAGTTCTTAAATTCAAAATTGTTAAATAAAAATGAAATAGGTTTTTAGATAGAATAGCAATTAAAACAGGTTTATCTTACTAGATAGATATATATTTGATATAATTATTATAAATATATACAAATGATATAATGATTATAAGTGGGCACTATTACAATAAGAATAAGCAGTGAGAGGTAAAATAAAATAAAATCAATGGTCACAAAATAAAAAATAGTTGGTATGAGAAATAGATACACAAGGAACATACCATCAAACTTTGCTATGACGATAAATCATTTAAAAATTATACTAAAAGTGGATTCATCCAGAATTTCAAAAGACAGTGTAAGACACTGACATAAAATTTCCTTTGTTGAACATTCCTTCCTAGTTTATTTTCCATGACTAGCTATAGTAACAAACATTTCTTGCCCTGTATTTTATTATTCATAATGTAGGTGCACCATGAGATAATTTGCACTCTCTTATATTATTTCCCTTCATACCTTCCTCTGTTTAGTATTTGGCAAATTCTTTCTCATGCGACGTTCTCTATGGTGTCTCTATGTCACCTCTGGGAGTGAAGCCAGGGTCAGCCGAGCAGAATTCCAGATAGCCTGGCCATCTGCTTCAGTCGGAGGAGCTCTGCATATGTCTGCTTCACACTCTCACTCAGAGAACGTAGAGAAATAGACCTGCACATAAAGGTTCAAGCAGTATTACTTAACAAGGCAGAATATTGGAATTCAGACTACATTCCCATTTATTGTCAGTAGTCTATTTTTAACTGAATGGCAGTCAGAAATTTCACAAAGCTATGAATTTTCATACAGAATCAAGAAAGAAATCTTCTTTAATGAATAAATATGATGGGGGAAGAAAGAAAAATTCTTTATTTAAAATTACAGCCAATAAATCTTGTTTGTGTTCAATATGGCAAGATCCTCTAATGCAATGACTGTTTTACCAATAAACAATTATGGAAAAGCTGTACAAATTTAATGTGCATTGTTGCTATTGGTACATTGTCATTTTCAATATAATTACATGAAACCACATTCATCTTGATTTTATTTCAGTAACTATAATTTTTACCCTAAATTGCAAATATAATTTTTAAAGTATTGGTATTTTGTGTTTTTAAAATAATGTCATGTAATTAGAGCTGCAATTCACTCAAATTGAAATAAAGGATGATACTTTGAAATTAAGTCTCATACTTTAATTGAAGAACAGAAAACTTGAGAGTTTGTCTTTGTAATTATGAGCAAGGAGACACATAATTGAATTTTGCACTAACACTAGTGTCATCTTCCATAAAAGAATCAAATATTTACTTTAAAAGTTATTTTAGAGTTTATTGCATTTAAATGACCTATCTTGCAATTTAAAAATGTGAGCAAGTACATTTCATGGAAAGGCTATAAAAAGAGGGAATTTAAATTAAAAGTGAGTACTCACTTCTTTGGTGACTCATTTACAAGCATGGTTGGGAGTTCTGGACATATAAGTACTTGCAGAGAGTATTATACATTTATTGAATGCCGATGTGTGTCAGCTACCATGCAAAATATATGCAATATTTTTTTCAAGTTTTGGTCCAACCATGCAACTTACTTGTAGAACCTTGAGATTTTGAGAGGGATGCACACCAAATTAGTAAATAACAAAGTATTTTAAATTCCCAACTCCAAGACCTCTTTGTAACAGCACATACCTTTAAATGATCAAGTTCATTAAGACTTGCTATGAAGGTCCACATAACTCTATGCAAAGAACTGTACTGCAATATGGTAACTTTTTAAGAGATAGAGTGCATTATTAGTTATAGAATACCAAGTTATAAAAATGAACTTTAACACATATTTATGTTTATATTCTCCAATTTAAAAAATCCAACAAGGTTAGCATCTCTAAAATCCCCATATGTGTTACTGATGCATATAATTTAGCAATGGAAAATGTGTTCTTCCTAGGGAGACAAAAATTTTTATTTTATTCATTGATTTAAGCCTTGGCTCTAGAATGAAAGACCCAGTGTGGAATTTAGCATATCAAGCTTCCCCTTGGAAACAGTATCTGCAGCAGCATGTGCTATAAAATGTCTCTTTAATAGTCAATAAAACTGACAAGAGTCATTGCTTACTACCTGATAGCTACTAGGTTTTCAAATTATAGAATTCATTTGTCACACTCCACTTAGCATATCTATATCTTTCCAATAATAAATGCCATCTTCAAGCAGTTATTTTAATGACTGAAAGATTAAATGCTAAAATAAGAGGTGATAGAAGGGAAACATGAAAGGCAATTATATCCTGTCTCTTAAGACAGAAATAGGAATCACCTGGAGGTTCATAACTGTGTTCTCAAAGACTTTATTTAGGAAGACATAAAAACCTTTAAAAAAATGAAGAGCAATGCAGTAAATGCAGACACGGGTTCAGATGAATCTCTGGATAAGATTTTTGCTGTGGTAGTATTTATTATAATTAATCTTAAACTGCATATAAGGACTAAAGAGGTGATCGTTATGATTCACTGAAGCAACTCCTACGTCTATATGAAAATGCAACTCTCTGTCTTACGTGCACACACTAAAACAATCTGCCAAAATCCTTCAGTCATTTCAAATATTACTAACCTTTGCTTTTCGTTCAATAATAATGAAATTTTAATAAGTATTAAGGTTATGTACATTTTCTCAGAGCAGTTATGTCACACATGAGAGTGGGACAGAAATGAATTAGAGTCCAGAACATAACAAAGTTCTGGAAATAATGGAAGTGGTTAAGCACTAATAGTACAGTTTATTCTGCGTTTCTGGAGGGAATGTTCCAAGTTGCCCTACTCTGACAAAATTGTCATCTAGTGAGAAAAAATAAAGTAAAAGAGAACAATATGATATTAGAGCAAGCACTGGCATTCTTTAAAATGGGTCAAAAAGAGGTATTTGAATCTCTTTAGGTTTCTTACATATATCTTTAACAGCAGATTAAATTATATACTTGACATTCAAAGAGGAAATAAAAATAAAACTAAATCAAATTTATTTCTATATATGATACTAATTTAGCCTGATATATCCAATATATATTCCTTTGAAACAAATATTATGGGTTTTTTTGCTTCGATTTAGTTCACTAATTATATACTCAAAGCTGTCAGTGAAGGACATGTGTATCTATAATTCAAAGGACTTTAAAGACCCTTTATAATCAACAAAATATCATGCTAGAGCTTATCTTCACCTAATGCAAAAATAAATTACACATTTCATGAGAAAATTGAATTCTTAGATAAACATTTCAAATGGAAGCAAATTAAAAAGAAAACTTATTTCCACAAATTTTTACATAAGACATCAGACTTATAGTAGGAATAACAATGTATTCATCTATAAATCTAATCCATTATCAAATAAACATAATCTATTTAATTGATATTGAATATTTCCAGTAATTTAATTAGAAATTACTCACAGGTATTCAATGTTTTATAACTCAATCTTTAAAGTAGATAAACATTTGGAAAGCTTATTTGGAGTAATTTGTTATAGGCATTTGACCTTGCACAACTGTGGTAACTGCTCAGGTATTCTCTGTGAGGTGTTGGCCCATGCCTGATGCTAGAGCCTGGAGTCTGCAGGGCAGATAATGAGGAGAAGGTATATAAAAAGATAAGCAGGACCCCATAAGGATGGTCTGAAACCCATGTCAGCTTCTTCTGCTTTTGATACTGATGGTATGGCTGTCCTGAAGAACCTGTTACCCTTTCCTATGGAGCTCAAAACCTGGCCCAAAAGTTGGCAAAGCTGAGAAGGATCCAGGAAACCATGGAACAGTTACAGTTTTGACTGTATGCTAAGAAGATGAGCTGGCAGGCAAGTGACAGCATTTGTGAGCTACACACTGGCTGCTCCTTCCTCTCAGCACTCCAGATACCGCACAAGAGTCTGTTCTGTGGCTCATCTTCAGTTGAAACATTCAGAGAGAGGAGGTCTGGGAAATGTAGATCAGCAAAGCCAAACTGCCATACCACAAAGCCAACTCAACTTCTCATTCTGTTTCTTAGTCCCTGAATATTAATCTTCAAGCCATCTATTTCATTAGTGTTGATAATTTTCTATTTTTGTTCCAATAAAAATGTATGCAGTAACCTATTTTCTTGCAGTTATTTATGTTACATGCAAAGATTATCTTTTTTAACTCTGTAATTGCCACCAAATAGATATTCACTAATATTTACTAGGTAGAGATGATTTATGCAATGTTTGGGTAGGCATGAGAAGAAAGGTAATTATGGTTTTCACTGATTGGTGGGCAAGATAGAGAAAAATGTCTTCTTTCTTTAATAAGGAACAAATTTAAATAAAAAGAATATGAAAAGCTGAGAATAATGTAGCAGAAATTTTTTTATTATTCATGTCTTAAATGAACTGTAAAATAAATTTTAAAATTATGCTACTTCTTAAATTCATAATTCTATGAGTCATATATGCCATGATTCATTACCTATCATTTTTCCAAACTAGACCATTTACTGTATATTTTGTAATAATTTTTATTTTTAGACGATGAGGTAAGTGCCATAGGTTTCTCAGTTTAAAAGTCAAAGGAGTGCTTCTAGTTTTTGAAGGGAATATCTATTATATTCTCAATATTGACTTGATGTGAAGTATTTGACACACATCATAGAAAGTTACTGTTGAAAAAGGAGCTTACTTTTTGTGTCTCTACACCATTGAAGAAGTCTCATCAAGACTGATGTTAATAACTTATCCACACTTGGAGAAAATTTTTGAGCTTATAAAAATGCCAAAGCTTATATTGTTATCCTTATATTTTGGAAAACCAGGTCAGAATACTAATCACACATATCAATGTTTAAATTATTCAATGTTCTCATTAGTGTGTGAATAAAATAAAGACCCAATAACACTAAGTTCCACTGTTATCCTCCACCGAGAATTTCAAGAAGAGCTGGCAGATAAGTGACAGCCTGTGTGAACTACATCTTGGCGGCTGCTTCCTCTCAGCCCTCCAGATCTTGCACACAAACTTGTCTATGGCCCATCTCAAAACGAAACATTCAGAGAGAGGAAATTTGGGGAATTAGATACACATAGCCAAATTGACATATTACACAGCCACCACAGCCAAAACAATTTCTGATTTGGCTTCTTAGTCTGGTTCTGATTCAACATATAACTGGGAATCCCCAAAGAGACCCCGGCATGATCTCAGAAAGCAAACTGGGCTTCTGGAGAGATAATTGCTGGCCTCAATTGCTTCTATTTTTGCCTTTCATCCCTTCTCTGGCCTCTGGTATCCCAAGTTTTCTGTCAGCACTCAACCCCAGCTCACTGCTCTGATTTCTGGCTCCACCAAGGTAAAGTATCCTCTTCTGACCTCAACTAGAGAAAAACTCAAACTGTTGTCTCTAATCTTCATGAAACCAAAAAGCCAGGAAGTCTCTTATAAAGAACTGAAATCAAGTACAGATATCCCAATAAGATTTTTCATAGATTTTGTAAAATTATATGGGTAAATTACCCAGAAAGGACAAATTAATATGAGATTTTAAAATATATTTTACTACCTGATAGAAAATCAGTAAGGAATTAAGTATATTAGAAGTGCCACAATTCCAAGTTAGTTATTCCACTAGACAAAACTTTATACAATATGAAACTTTTAGTTCTGTATGGATCAGATGAAATACAATCAGATTTTCCAAATTACTTCATATTTTAATAAACTATTTTTATGTTTTAGTGAAATTTACAATGTTGTACATTCTAAGAGTATGAGTACCCA